AGGAGGAGGAGGAGGTAATAATAGTAAAAATAAGTAGGAAAATAATACTAGTAATAATATTATTCTTGCTATTACTATTAGTATGATGATGATGATGATGATGATGATGATGATGCTGATGATGATGATGATGATGATGATGATGATGATGATGATGATGATTAGGATGATGATGATGATGATGATGATGATGATGATGATGATTAGTATTATTATTATAACTAACAATAATAAGAATAGTAGTACTAATCATAGTAGTAATAATAATGGTAATACTAATCATCATCACCACCATCATCATCATCAACAACAACAACTAATCAACTCATCAGCTCACAAGAGCGATAATACGAAGCCCGCTCGAATCAGCCTGACAGGGAAACGAGTGCACAGTGGCTCATGCGCTCAGAGACGCGCGACTGTGCGGGGGGTGACGCGAGCAAGGCCCAACGACTCCAGTGCATGCAAGCCCCAGATCCACATGAAGCGCGAGGGGCTGCGAACGTTGTGCACTCATACCCTTAGCACGAGTGCGCGCACAGGCTAGGCTGGCTTCCCGGCCTCCTGGAAACTAATAAGAATGTTGACGGACGTTTGGCCCTGGAGCCCCTGGAATACGAGGCAAATCGCGGCAACCTCAACGGCGTGACTACCTCGATCGTCTGCGCGACAGCAACGGGCAACAACGCAGCAGCGCGGCAGATGCAGGGAAACAGCGCTCAGACAGCAAGGCGACCGCATGGCAAGTGCATGGTCGCAGCTCGGTCATTGCGCGACATACGCGATGCAACCGCATGGCAGTAACAACGCGGACGCATGGCAACGGGAAGGCACTCGTCAAGCAACGCTACTGCAAACGCAAAGACAGCGGCGCGGGAACTGCACGTCGACTGCATGGAAACACCGCGGCGACCGCATGGCCGCCGCACGGCAAAAAGCACGGCAATTGCACAATGCGGCAGCCGCATGGGGCATGGGCGAGCAGGAGGAGGAGGAGTAGGAGGAGGAGGACGAGGAGGAGGAGGAGGAGGAGGAGGAGGAGGAGGAGGAGGAGGAGAAGGAGGAGGAGGAGGAGGAGGCGGGCGAGAGGGCGCGAGACATGGAAAAGGAGGGCGCGGAGAACTGCAGCCGAGATCTGCAGCGAGGGGCGGAGAGAGTGGGCACGGAATGCCCCTGGAGGCCGCAGCTCCCGAGCCTGCCCGGCCCGGGCAGCCCGCGACAGCAGCGAAGGGCGGGCTCCAGAGGCGCGGGCGCAAAGGGTGCCCTCGAATCCTGGCAGCCCTCTGGGGCGCAGGGGGTCTTCGGCTTCTCCTTGTCCAACCTCCGCCCCCCCCCCCCCGTGCTTGGGGAGATGATCCCCCCCCCCCGCCAACTGGTCTGGGCAGAGTGGGGCCGAGGTGGCAGAGCGCCCGAGAAGGCCCAAGATGGGCCCGCGAGGGCCCCAAAGCCGCCGCCGTGCCCCTCGAGGCGCGGAGTGGGCCTGTTCTCGGGTCCTCTGCCTCGTCCCTGGGCCTCAGTCCTCAGTCCTGAGGAGTCTCTAAAAGGGCCCCGAGCCCAAATTCTCAAATCCCCCGGGGCCCCCTGCAGCTTGTCGCATGACCTCGGGGAGGCAGCTTCTCGACGCCCCTCGCGAGGGCCGTAGCCCCCGGGCGCGGAAATCCGAGCCCCCGCCCCAAGAGGCACCCAAGAGCCCACAAGAGGCTCACAAGGAGCCCCCGAGAGGCCCTGGAGAGGCCCCCGAGAAGCCCCGAGAGGCCTCCGAGAGCCCCCAAGAGCTCCCCGAAGAAGGCGCCGACAGGTTCGTCGGAAGGTGGGGGGGTGGCGTCCAAAACTCCAAGTGTTCTTGGGAGCAAAGCCTGTGACTTCCGCCCCAGGGCGCCGCTCGGGACGCAGGGGAACGAGGTGTGAACGGAGCGGGGGACGCAACGGGGGCGAGGAAGGACTGAGGGACCGACCGTGGTGTCCTCCTGGCGCTCTGCTATGAACCCACGCACGCTTCGTGCAAAAGGACAGCGCGAACTACTGCGACGGCTGCGTAGGGAGGAAACCGATGAAAATGGTGTCGACACTGCTTCCCAGGGGAAGCGTCTTCCGCCTTGCCCCCTCCCTCCTCCCCCTGGCTGTGTTCCTCTCCCCCCCTGTCCTCCTCCTCCTCCTCCTCCTCCTCCTCCTCCTCCTCCTCCTCCTCCTCCTGTTAACCCTCGTCCTCCTCCTCCTCCTCCTCCTCCTCCTCCTCCTCCTCCTCCTCCTCCTCCTCCTGCTAGCCCTCCTCCTCCTCCTCCTCCTCCTCCTCCTCCTCCTCCTGCTAACCCTCATCCTCCTCATCCTCCAGTCTTTCACTGCCCGAAGGAACTGGGCGCCCCCTCTTGGACGCCACGCGTGCGCCCGCGCCCACCGCGCTGCCGGATCTTGGGCGGGCTCCTCGAGAACACGTGATGCCACCGTGGCGGCATCTTGGGGTTCTCTGGGCCTCCTCCTCCTCCTCCTCCTCCTCCTCCTC